ATGCTACAAGGACGGCGTGACCTTGACATATTGTGGGATGAGTGAGGCTATTAACCCGTATCACTTATGTCAGTTGTGGTGTGGCCTTGACATAGTTTTAATTGTAAGATTTGTGTGATTATGAATATGAAAATGATAGTGTTAATTGCAAGATTTGAATGGATTGGTATGATTGTGAATTGTGATGTGAATATGATGCATGATTGATAGAATTAGAAATGGTTGTGAATATTTCATTAAGTAATGAGTTATGATGAGATTACATTGTGGTGTGTTTGTATGTGCATTACATATAGATGTTTTCTTTTCTCACCGTATAATTTGTGGATGTTTTAGGTGAGGAAGATCCGGCTTTGAGTGGCATCTAGAATGCCAACAATTGAATTGTGGGTGTGCTTTGGTATCGTGACATCAGGGCAGAGGATGTTAGGATATAAATTTTTATATGTATTTGGAGTTGTACCTTTTCTTTTGAAAACAATTTTTAAACTCTTAAGTTTTACTTTCCAAGTTTTATTTTCAATCATTTTGGATATTGAAGAACAATTATGAAGGTTTTATGTGAACCCTTTTACCAACGTTGAAAGTTTTATTCTTTAGTTTATTTACATTGTTACAATATGTGTTGGGGTAGTAAGGGTGTCACAAGGAAAATCAAAAGTGAGTCGTTGTGTGTCGCTAGAGTCGGTAGTGACTTTAGTTGGATCGCTATCGGCTTTAGCAGCAACCTTTGCTTCATGACTCTCATGGCTTCTTAAAAAAAGGAAAAAAGACATGTGACACTAGAGTCATTATGGCCCATAGCGATTCTATAGTAAACAATCCCAAAAGTGTAAATAGTTTCAAAACAATCCCATTTACGTGATTAGTTTTTCAAAATAACTCCACAATGGTCAATCAACCATATAATTAAGGAAAACACTTTCTAACACATTATTTCTAGTTAACTGAAATTTATTGAAAAATACAAAATTTAGTAGGTCTCACACATTATATAATGATTCTCGCTCTTAGTTTTTTAGATTTCAATAAATTCTAGCTAATGAGTGTATTAAGAAAAGTATGTTAGATAGAGAGTATGTGCTAGCACTTCTCATTAAAGAATACTGCAAAGAAATACATCAATAACATAAGAATACATAAATTAGCTAAAGAAACATCTAAACATCAAATTCAAATATCCTATTACTAAACTATTAATATAAAAAGAAATAATTAAATTTTGGTGGTCACTTTTCTACATCTAAAAAACCTTGTTTTACACTTGTTTTCAATTGCATTTTCACTCTTTACTCCCACTCTCAACATAATTTATTCTATACTCAAGGTCATGATTTAAATCTTGAATATCTTACTTAAAAAATACACATTGTCACCACTTGTATCAATCAATGGTACGATTGCTATCTATATATCAATTAAAATTAGGCTAAAGAAGTAGATCCTAAAGGAAACTATTAAGTTTTGGTAAACTTTTCTACGTTTGAGCAACCTTGTGCTACACTTGTCTTGGATTGCATTTTTCATTCTTTACTCTCATTTCAACATAGTTTGTTCTATACTCTAGTTAGAATTTAAATATTGAATAACTTGGTTAATAAGTTGTTATCACTTGCATCAACCAATGTTTTAAAAGCTGGACCGATCACCAAATCGGTCAACGTATTGGATCTCAATGGATCAAAGGTCGAATCGATGGATTATTAATTGAATTGCATAACCTAATCTTAATTAAACTTTTTTATAAAAATATTCTTGTTCATACCTACAAATTTAATAAAAATCATACCATGTTTTAAATAAGTCTCCAAAAAAAATTTAGTGAATAAATTATAGACTAATTGAACCATATATAATTTTAAATTAAAAAAACACACACACACAGACAAAGAAATATATATATATATATATATATATATATATAGAGAGAGAGAGGGTTATAATTACACCGGTGTAACTTTTACTAAGCATTACACCACTCAATAACTATATATTAAATGTGAATTTTATAAACTCAATCATTGGATTAAAAGTTCATATCTCTTCGATCATATATACAAAATTTTATATATATATATATATATATAGAGAGAGAGAGGGTTATAATTACACCGGTGTAACTTTTACTAAGCATTACACCACTCAATAACTTTATATTAATTGTAAATTTTGTAAATCCAACTGTTAGATTGAAATTCGTATCACTTTATACGTGTATATCAAATTTTGTTAGAATTGAATGACAACTTAAAGGTAATCAAAGTGTTCATATTTTAGTATATTTTGAAATAAATATATTACTTCAATTTTGTTTTATAAAAAAGAAGTATCAAATCACCTTGGATTAATATAAAATTTTGCATATATGATCTGAGAGATATGAAATTTTAATCTAACGGTTGGATTTACAAAATTCACAATTAATATAAAGTTATTGAGCGGTGTAATACTTAGTAAAAGTTACACTGATGTAATTATAACCCCCCTCATATATATATATATAAAGAGAAGGTGACTCATTTACTCTAGGAGTAAGTTTACCTAGACTTACTCCGTTCAATAACTCATATTCTACATCAACTTTTGATGATGTAATCGTTGAATTTAAAGTTTTTAATGCATAGGATCAAATCTGCAAATTTAAAAAAAAAAACTTGAAAACTATTTGATTCTTCATTTCATTAATTCAAATCAATGTATAAAATGGTTTTTTGGTTATTCGTCAATTTGAAGTAGTGAAATGAAATATCAAATAATTTTCAATTTTTTTAAAAATTTGCAGACTTAATCTATGCATTAAGAACTTTAAATTCAACGCTTGGATCCTTGAAATTTGATGTAGAAATGAGTTATTGAACGGAGTAAGTCTAGGTAGACTTACTCCTAGAGTAAACGGATCCCTCATCATATATATCGGAAG